AAAGAAAGAAAGAAAGAAAGAAAGAAAGAAAGAAAGAAAGAAAGAAAGAAAGAAAGAAAGAAAGAAAGAAAGAAAGAAAGATTAGATAGACAGACAGACAGATGGGTCTTTGATGCTCTGACCTGGGTCATTTCTTTGCAGACCTTTCAGGACCCAACTAGGTAACATTGTCAGTGCTAGAAGGGAGTGGGGATTGTGGAGAGGAGAGGGGGAAGGAAGAAGGAAGAGAGAAAGAGAGAGAGAGAAAGAAAGAAAAAAGAGAGAGAGATGATTGTGGGGTCAGAGATAATTGTGGGCTCTCTGACCTGGGTCATTTCCTTGCAGACCTTTCAGGATCCAACTAGGTAACATCATCAGTACCAGAAGGGAATGGGGATTGTGGAGTGGAGAGGAGGAAGGAAGGAAGGAAGGGAGAAAGGGAAAGAAAGAGAAACAAAGAAAGGGAGAAAAAGAAAGAGAGAAGGGGGAAAGAAAGAAAGAAAGAAAGAAAGAAAGAAAGAAAGAAAGAAAGAAAGAAGATTGTGGGGTCTTTGATGCTTTCTGACCTGGGTTCCTTGCAGACCTTTCAGGACCCAACTAGGTAACATCATCAATGCTAAAAGAGAATGGGGTTTCCGAGAGGAAGAGGTGGAGGAAGACTGTGGGGTCTCTGAGCTTTTTTGCTTTTTCAGACGTCTCACAACCTAACTAGGTAACATCCTCAGTGCTAGAAGGGGATGGAGTTTGCAGGGGGGGGGGAGGAGCTCTCCGAGCTTGAGTGGTTTCCTAGAGACGTTTCGTGACCCAACTAGATTACATCATCCGTGCTCCTAGACAGCAAACCCTATTCCTTTCTAGTAGCGGTGACGTTACCTTGTTGGTAAAGACATTACTAAAAACCATCTGCTTTGGTTGGGGGGGGGGGGAAAGGGGGATCGTTCTTGCTGTCCCCCTGAACTCTGACCCACAGCGCGAGCGTTGGAGCTGTTCCTGGAATCGCTGTTGAAGACGGCTTGCCACGTCACCCAATCCAGGAACGCCAAAACGATGACAACGTCCCACCTGTGAGTATTGGCGGCCGAGGGGACAGGGCCCCCTTTTGCTCACCAGAACGGCTGCCATCGTGGTGGGCCTTGCTGAGCTCCAAGGACTGAAGAATCAGGCGTCCCCCTTCTTTATAACCCATGAGGACTAGAATCTTGTCTGGGGATTTATGGGGAAGGGCACTTTGGGTAGGTTGCGGAGCAAGGCAATGCATGCCGTTTTTCTCAGAGTCCATATCCAGAGTTAAGTATAAGTATATAAGCATAAGCCACAGAAATTTGGGGCTCGAATGTAGTTGTAAGTCGAGAACTGTCTATTATGTATTTATGATGTTTTTATGATGACTATGATTTATGATTTATCACTTTTATGTACACTTAAGCACCGAAGACAAATTCTTTGTGTGTCCAATCACACTTGGCCAGTAAAGAATTCTATTCTATTCTGTCCTGTTCTTCATTCCTTCTATTCCTATTCTACTCTATTCTACTCTATTCTATTCCATTCCATTCCATTCCATTCTATTCTATTCTATTCTATTCTATTCTATTCTATTCTATTCTATTCTATATTCTATTCTGTTTTCTATTCAATTCTATTTTCTAGTATTCTAGTATTCTATTTTCTATTCTATTTTCTAGTATTCTGTCTATTCTATTTTCTATTCTATTTTCTAGTATTTTATTGTTCTATTCTATTCTTTCCTATTCTATTATCTACTGTATTCTATATTTTATTCTATTTTCTAGTATTCTGTTCTATTTTCTATTCTATTCTATTTATTCTACTCTGTTCTTCATTCCTATTC